CACGCATGCACGCACACACGGAGGTCAAAACATAAGTCCCCGTTTTCGGACTGCGTCCGAACGGGGACTAATAAACAAGGTCATTGACTTTAAATTTAGACCTACCCTCTCAGAGACAGTAATAAGCCTGGTATTAACTTGATCAGAAAGCTGTGCAATGGTAACATCTTTGCTTTCTCTTCCATCTGTCACATCAGCATTACTTGCAGCACTTTCTATGATATTCCGATGAACTACACACTTATCCTGGATAACCTGAACAGTGAAAAATGCCAATCACTCATTCATCAATAAAAATATGATAACCAATCAAAGTATACATGCACTTACCATATAGATGTCCTTATTTTTATAAGATCGTTCTTTATGGCATGGTTCTTGTACATGTCACTTGTTTAGCATCAATCTGATTAAAATCTGATGTAGGTACAATGTATAGGCTCCAATTTTTTTGTTTTATATTTTTTATTGTTATTTTTGTTTACCGAGATACGATACATAAAAAAACTTAATAACGGCAAGTAAAACCAACAAATATTCATGAATAAACAAAAATAACAATAAAAAATGTATAAATTAAAAAATATAAAAATAAAAAAAAAAAAAATTGGAGTCTACACCTACATTTGATTTTAATCAGATCGGTTTAGCATTAGCGAATTGATGTCATACATAAACCTGAACTCATCGCAAAAAAAAAAAATAAATAAAGAAAAATAAATATGAAAACACAAGTTCTTACTTGATGTGACTGTAGTTGTTGCTGGGCATTGGCTAGGTCTGCAGTGCTTACTTCGTCATTGTCACCAAGGAAATCATTGGTGCCATCCAACCATAACTTACACTCCTGTAGGGCATCTTGATAGGCTTTGTGTTTATGCAACGACTCTTCAAGTTTTCTCTGTATCTGTTTAGCTGTGTTACTCACAGCGTCATAACTCTCTCTCAAACTACCTAACTGCGACTCAACTTGCTTGGCAAGTTTGGGAGAGCCTTGATTGATATCAAGCAGATGCTTTCCTTTAGCACTGATAGCTTCCAGTCGGGTGTTGACATCGCTGAGCTCTCGCATCAATGCCTACAAGTAAGAGCCAGTAAGTACGTGCAAATTGGCGATACAGGTGTTATTGTGCATGCAAAGACTAATAAAGTAATAAATACAGGGTGTTGTTATAAGGCCATGCTAGGCCTTGTTGGCACTGTGGAATCCCCACCTTCACCATTCAGTGCTGATATAACCCACCGCAAAGCAAACCCCATGCAGCAAACCAAGAGAACAGGTGGCACAAACACATGTTTTAACACAATAGATACCCAGCATGCATTGCTAGCATGTGCACATGTCACTGCAACGTGAGAGTAAAAAGTCAAGCAGAAATCCACCTGCGACCCTATACCAAGGTGAGAAATGCAGTGAAATGCCAAAATAGTTGAGTCCTCTGTAAACTGTCAGTGAAGAAGTATCTCCTTCAAATCAACCAATTGTACCCTGTTACTTAGCAACAGAGCTACAATGTACCCCTCTAAGATCGACAATGAGATAGAGTGAGAGTAGCCATCTCTCACAAAGGAAAAACAAATAAAGGGAGAAAAACACACAGCATAGTAGAAAACATGAAACCAGCAGGATTAACAATACAATTAAAATTAAGGTGGAAAAACACACAGCAGTTTTATCACACACATTATTATACATGCATTTTACTATGTAGATTGCAAACCTGGTGTTGTTCTAGCTGTTCTTGAGTTGTCTCCATACTCTCATCTTGTAGTACATTCTGAGTTGTCAGTCTATGTGAAATGTTCAGCAGAGCCTTCTCTTCTTCTTGCAAAGCATTGTGGTACTGTTGGTGTTCTGAGACGCCTTTTTCAAGATGTTTCAGAAGTTCCTATTGAAAATACACAACACCCAAATGATAAAGAAAAATTCAACTCATCTGGAGTAAATTTAGGTGTTGTAGATGATTTATTTTAAACACAAATAATGTCTACCCGGTACTTGTAATTTATTGAACATCAAAATTATTTTTTTTTCTATTTGATTGTAGGCGTTTCCTCTATAAATAATCATGGTATTACTTACCTGAGCTCTGATATTTACAGACTGGTTTCTAGCGGTCAGTGTTGTCATATGACTTCTAATATCTGTATCACCAACATTACTTTCTAAAATTTCTTTGGTTTTTAAATTTAAACTCTCAATGGTGGGCTGGTGGGCAATGACATCTTCATACACAGCCTGAGGTGTGGATGGAAACATTTATTTATCACAAGTAGTCACATACTGAAGCATATTTCAATAGTGACTATAAAAACAAAGAAAACAATTAAGATAGCATATTCTTACTAAATATTTGCAACAAAGTTCACACACAATAACTTGTTTAGCATTGAATAAATTATGTAATTAATTGGTACAGATTTGGACTAGTCTGTGGTCTGTAGATTGTCCTAAAACAGCAATATACAGACAATCTGATGCACACACGGTAAAACTCACAGAGTACCATTATGTGCAATGAACATGGCAGCCCAAAACTTCATTCTTCTGCAGTAATTTGAAATTTATTTTTGATGATTCCATTATTTTTGACGATTTTACAATTGCAATTCACAAGCCAAGGTTCATTCACTCATTCATTATTTATTTAAATTTGATGTGAGTTGTTACAGGAACGCTGATTGCTGGATCATTCTCCTTGGCATGCCCAATCAAATCATTCAACTTAATAGAGGTTGAATACAGCTTTTCCTAAACACAATTATACATGAGTTCGTTAGGATAGCCACAGATGGGCGGCTTCAGCAAATTCAACTGAATCGGGTAAAAATAAATTGCAATTGAAAAAAAGTATCCTTACAGTAAATGACGTTTTTTGTGACATAATATACACAAAGGACTGAATAAAAATAATTTAATTCTTCACTATGCCCTACCTTGTATTTTTCCAACTGAGTTCTCTTCTCAGAGAGTTCTGTTTTAATATCGGGCTCAGATTCCAGGAACTTCTCCTTTTCAGCTAGCCATTTGAAAATACCTGCAAAGTTGTCTTCAAAATCAGTCCACTGTTGAAGACTGTGCTCCAAATTGCTCATTGTGCTGCGTAGGTTTGCAGCATAGTCATCCCAGTTGTGTTGGAGTGCTTGTAATTCGGATTCAATAATCTCTCTGCCAAGTTCAGAAGTCTGAGGCATGATCTGATGGCCGAGAGTCACTGTGCTTTTGATCTTTGCATCACCTTCTTTATTCATAATACACAGTGCCTATGAAACAAAAAAATAGTGTTATGGTAAGTTTCATCGCCAGCAATGTTACTTTTCAAATAAAATATGGATATGATGACACAAGAAACTGATAATGCTTTTAAGAAACATGGCAATATTATACAGACTTTTTTTGTTAAAGTTCACACAAGTTGACAATGAAATTGGTAAAAATATTTCTCAATTACTAACCTGGAAGATAATTTCATATAAACATACAGTGACAATCCTATTAAATCTGGCATCACCAGGCAAAGATTTTTAAGTGCTTTTTTGATATTTTATAGTAGTGAGAATTTCACTGGAGATTTTAAGGGTGGAATTAAAATTAGTTCTTGCAAATGCTTCAAATTATACAACCATAAAATAGTTACCTGGACGTTTTCTAGTTTCTCTTGAATAGTTGCTCTATCTCCAGATATCTCCTGGCATTCTTCCAGTCTTTGCTTGGCTTGTTCTAACCACACATGGCAATCTTCAAGTGTGTTCTTATATTTCTGGTGGTCTGCCACGCCCTTCTCTAGACGCAATAACACATCCTATATAACAGTAAACAATAATCACTTTAATATGTAATGACAACAAAAAGCTGTTAAATAATATAATAAATATAAATAAATAAAAAAAAAAATGGCTTTTAAAATAACAACCAATCGGGAGGTTATTAAAATTTTATATAGTTACTGTAGAATACTTTATTTTCGCTTGGAATTTATTTTCACTATTTTTGCTGAAGGGATGATACCGTGAAAATAAAATCCAGTGAATATACTTTTTTCCCTATATTTCACATTCAACTCATCAAAAATCTGTGAAAATAAATTCCATAAAGAACGTCCAAAAAGCCTTTTCAGCGAAAATAAAGTATTCCACAGTATTATTAAATTTTGAACAAAACGTATAGAAAAAAATAACAATACAACTTTATCAATATAAAGTAAATTTATAATTAAATATGAAATATACCTGGGCTGTATTAATAAGGAATTGATATCTTGTACGGAGTTCAGACATGTGACTTGTAACACTCTCATCTCCAGAGCTACTTTCTAACACATCCTGTGCTCTTTCATTTGTGGTTTGGATAACCAAATGATGGCTTTTAATATCCTCATCCAATATCTACAAAACACAAACATTCTTATGTTAGCACAGTTTATAACACATGTACCCATTATATGTGGGTAAAACATTTCAGTCTATTTTTGTACCAATACTTGAAACAATTGTTGAAGCAAATATCATAGTGTAGGCCCGGGCATCCAGTTTAACAGTTAATTTACAAAAGAAAGATGATTTTCATCAAAAAAAATATCACAGTTTTGAATTTTAAAATTAGTGCAATATGGTCACTAGTAATTGGACAAGCAACCTGAGGAGACATCATGTAGTTGAATGCCTCACTTCCAGGTCCTGAAGTCTAGTATATTGTTTTCCTGGAGACAGAAAACTGCTTCTAGCATACAATTTTCATATTAAACAGCACCAGTTCCCTTGTCAATCGTTTATCTAATAGAGCTATATCGCCGCATTACCTTTGACTAAGTTGAAGCGAGTAAAACTGCTATTTCACCTTCACTTCATCCACATACACTGAAACATAACTGTCATAACTGTTTCCACTCACCCTATACTCCTTGAGTTGTTGCCTCTTTTCTGTCAAATCCTTCTTCAATTCTGGTTCATCTTTCAATGTTTTTTCCATTTCACTCAACCATTTCAGTAAGTCATCGTAAATATCTTCATACTGGTTCCACTTGTCAATACACTGTTGCATATTCCTGACAGCTTCCAGAATCTGTTCCATCAGATTGTCAAAGTCTTGCTTGGATGCCTCTAACTGTTTACTGATATTCTGCTTGCCACTAGCTGACGTAAGAGGCAGTACTCTCTCACCACAGTCATAGGCTGTCCTCAGCTTGGCTTCACCCTGGGACTTGTTTGATAAAAGCTCCTGAAATATAAAACAGTATTTAATAATTTTGTACAGACATTAATTTCCTTTCTACAATGTACCAAAAATATATCTAAAAAACGATACCAATGATATAAAATAACTGTAAAATACTTTATTTTAGCTGGAATTAATTTTCGCTGAAAAGTGTTTTTGGGTGTTTTGTATGGAATTTATTTTCACTGATTTCTGTTGAGTTGAATGTGAAATATATTTCACTGAATCATTCCTTCAGCGAAAATAGTGAAAATTAATTCCAAGTGAAAATAAAGTATTTCACAGTAGTACACAGCTCCCTCTAGAGGTATAAACATGTATATTGTATTTCTTTCCACACACAGTGTATCCTCGGGGGCGGACATCCGGGCATTTTCACCGCCTGGCAACCCGCGGCGGTGAAAACAAAGGCCCAAAACTCACAGAAAATGATACTTTGGGATGATTGTTGAGAGTCCCCTGAACAGTGTAACAAGATTAGCCCTACGTGTGTAACATATATAAATTTGGTTGTTCGGGATTACTTCAAAGTTGAGTTTGTGTTGTTTTCTTGAATTTTCACCGGCTCCACCGGCGTTCCACAGCAGCGCTCACAGAGCCCATAGAAATGCATGTACAGTGGTGCGCGTCGTAGCAATGTGGAACGTCTTGTAACGTAGCTCCGCCCCCGAGGATAACCATAAACACCAAATACATCAGAAATAAACAATACTAAAAATATTTCTTTGATTTTCTGCTGTTAAGATCAGTACATATATGTATGTTATTAGAAATAAAAAAAAAAACATCATAAGAATTCAAATATTGTTTTTCAAAATAATTATTGACTTTGAGGTTACCTGTAATTGTTTATGCCTTGCGTCCAGCATTGGTTTTCCACCACCAGCATCTGAATGCACAGTCAACGTGTGTCTTGTTTTATTCACCCAATCTGTAATGGCCTGCAAAGCATTGTAGTACTGTTGGTGGTCCCTCACAGCCTGCTCAATCCTTCTAACAACATCCTAGTACAATAAAACAAATAAAATGAAATGTATCTTTCATAATGACGCTCCAATAAAAATTTTCCAAAAAAAAAATTCAAACATTATTTGTGTGTACAGAACAATATTAATATACACATGACCGGCATGTTGTCATGTAATTATTATCATAAACAAGTTAATAAATCAATGTTATCTCCAATCAAATTGTCTAGAGTGACTGTGATTGTTGATTTGAAGTTATTTTTTCTCACCTTCAGAGTCGCAGCCATTGCTTCATGCCTGGTTCTTAGCGCCGTGGCATGGCTACTAACGGATCTGTCTCCTGTTAATTCCATCAACTGGTGTGCCTGTTCGTCTAGACTTTCTAACGATGTCTGGTAGGCTTGCACTTCTTGTTGGAGAGTCTATGGTGGTTAAAAAGTATGTTAATTGAGTCAATCTCGGAGGGTGATATTTTCAACACTAAATCCATATGAACATAATATTCATAAATTGGTCAGCAGTTGTTGTGAGCTTTGTATAGATTAGTTTGTTTAGGTCAAATCTCTACATGGCCCATCTTTGCGGGTAAGTTGTGGTCATCCTGTGGTAATTAACTACTCATTGACACAGGGATGGATTTTATATGAGCACCAAGAACAGGATCAAACAGTTTTATATCCATCTGACTGGTGGCTATGTTTCCAGTACTTTTTATTAAAGTGATCAGGGGGCATCCCAAAACAATCTCTCTAATACTGGGTGGAGACGCTAACCAGTACATTACATACCACATGGTTTCAATTTGCTGTCAGTGAAAATGTAAATATACAATACCTGATATTTATCAAGCTGTGCTTTCTTTTCACCAAGTTCATTTTTAGGCTGAGGGTCCATCTGTAGAGTCTCCTCTGTGTCTTTCAGCCATGTTGATATTTCCTTACAGCTGTCTTCGTATTGATGCCATTTCTGTACACAATTCTCCAGTTGTCCCTTGGCTTCATTGATCTCAGTAATAAAATTCTGCCAGTCTTCCTTCATATTCTGTAGCTCTGTGGTGATTCTCTCTTTACCAGGGTCTGCGGTGTGAGGGAGTGCTCGCTCACCTTTGGTGGTTAATGAGTGTAGTAGACTTTGTCCTCTTTGCCGACTTGATACAAGCTCCTAAAAAGAAAACCAATTGTTATCATCTCATTTAAATTTTCATAGTTAATAAAAAAAATCTGTAAACTGTTTTACATGTGACATGACATACTTAACAACAAATTGAATAACAAAATGAATTTTTCATAATATTCCACAGCTAGTGAATCCTACTATATTGATAATAAATAATCTTACCCTTGATTTGTGTAATCTGGCCTCCAGACTAGCTTTATCTCCAGTGCTGTCTCGGCATGCGATGGTAGCTTTCATAGCCGGTGTCATCCAATTACGGAACTCCTTTACGGCGTCGCTGTAAATCTGGTGGTCTAAAGCATTCTGTTCACATTTACGCACAAGTTCCTGAAATGAACAAATAAAATCAATTTTCTATGAACAAAACAGTCAAATATTATGATAGAGAATCATACTACAGACTGGAGCAGGCAAAATATTGTAATCAGAAGACACTCCAACAGAAAAATTAAATTAAAGTGAAAGTCAAGGCTAACAACATAATACTCCTCGATGGAAGAGCTCGACAAATGTAAGAACATGCAGTTTACAGTTTTTTTATATCACTTCTCATTCTCTAGATATTCAATTTTTCAACATTTTATGTAGACCGCCATCTTGATTCTTCAGCAAAGGATTGTGGGTAAAGTATGACATCATAAGACGTCTGTTGTCGAAATTGAAAAAATGATTTCATCTATACTTCAAAGTGAACTTTAAAATT